AAGACTGATAAGACTGGACCTGACTTTTTAGCAAAGGACCTATGAGTTTTGAGGTGGAGAATCCTAAGATATATTGAATTAAAATGGAACATGTTGGTTCATCTGAAATTTGCCCTTTAAATCTCAAATTGAAGTTATAAATATAACGGCTTTGTGAATTCACAAATTCTGCTTCTGACAACATGTTCTCTTTACTACTCCTCGTCTACCCTGAGATTTATTAATTTATCATACCTGGGCCTACACAGCCTCTCTCCTATAGTCTTACTGCAGACTAATTGAGACCTAAACGTGGCAAGGAGAAAATTCCTAGATGTGGAGAATCTGGTCTTATCCCTCGTTTTCCATTACTTGTCCCTTCAAAGGTGAAGTAATTTTCCCAAGGTTATTCAACAAGTAAGTCCCATCTCAAGCCTAAGCTTCTCCACCTTGAATTTACCAGCCCTTCTAGATTAAGAAACAATAAATATTTCTGTTTCCTATTTCTGAAGCTTTTTAGTGGGATATTACAGTGTGAGATGGTGACATTTCATAACATTTGAAGGATTTGCTATTAGTCTGGTAATGGAAAACATGCTAATGTATACACACACACACACACACACACACACACACACACACATATAATTGAGAACTCAGCAACTTCTCAGCAAATGATAAACAAGTAGAACAGACAAGACGCACATGGGAAACCTCCAGTCATAAAGAGTATTTTCTGAGCAAAACAGAAACTCATTCTTCCCCACAGCAACCACCATGGGGAGAGAACTTCAGAATCCACCTGGGCATCCAAGAGGCAGCTGTTGAGCTTATCTACAGTGGCTCTAGGACCCTAGGGCATCTCACACAAGCAGAAAGGAGGAGAAACAGGTCCTAAAACTGAGGCTGCAGTAACAATTTGCTTTTGCATTTGAAGTGGACTGCTCCCTTACCAGGCAGAAACAGAGCTGTCTCACACAAAGAAAGAGTTGGTTCACAAAATAGATAATTAATAAATGAGCTGTGCTGGGTTTTGTGTTTTGATTGTTGTTTCTTGGACTTAATACTGTTTGAAGCAATAAGCAATGGTGAAAGAATTCTATGTGAACAGGTCATTCTCATCTTTGGCCACACTCCTCTTCACTGGTTGAAGGGTATAAAACACCTTTTTCTGAGGGTTATAAAAGGAATCAAATTAGGCAAAACATGAATTTGCTCATTGGTCACATGCAAGGCACATTATTTCTTGCTCTGCGAGATATAAAGATGAGTTCAATGGGAATTCTGCTCTTGAGAACTTATAGTTTGATGAGCGAGTCAGGCTGCACAAATAGCTGTATCACCAGGAAGAAAGTGATGGCATGAAGTAAAGGATAAAGGACTAGGGAGATACAAGGGAGAATATATTTCTAACATAAAGAATCACGGCCAGGCACGGTGGCTCATGCCTGTAATCCCAGCACTTTGGGAGGCCGAGGCAGGTAGATCACCTGAGGTCAGGAGTTCAAGACCAGCCTGACCAACATGGTGAAACCCCGTCTCTACTAAAAATACAAAAACTAGCCGGGTGTGGTGGCATGTACCTGTAGTCCCAGCTACTCAGGAGGCTGAGAGAGGAGAATCACTTGAACCCAAGAGGCAGAGGTTGCAGTGAACCGAGATCACACCACTGCACTACAACCTGGGTGACAGAGAGAGACTTCATCTCAAAAAAAAAAAAAAAAAAAAAAAGAATCAAGGAGAATCCATGTTTTTAGAGGCAAGGACATTTTAGTTGGGCCTATCCTAATGACCTCATTTTAATGATCATCTGCAAAGATTCTGTTTCCAAATAAGGTCACATGCTTAAGTACTGGAGGTTAGGACTTCATCTTTTTGGGGGGATCAATTCAACCCAAAAAGGTAAGTATCTATATCTTGTAGAAATGTGACACTATGTTCTAAAGGGATATACTATTGGAGGCATAGGGTAAGGCGACAATTGTGTGAATGAAGGTGGATTCTCCACTGAAGGAAGAAGATAATACACTGATTAGGCATCTTTCTAAAAGATGGAAACAGAAAATGGGGAATATAGGCCTGGATTGGGATTAGTTCCTCTATTTGGACTTTGACTTGGGCCTAGACACTGTGGAATTGAGGCATGTGTGAGGTGTTTCTGGGTGTTAGAGAAAACCTGGCCTCTTCCTAAAATGGTGGTGAAGAGAATGGGCTCTGAGCAGAAGGCAGCTGTATGGAGGCCAGGTGAACGGACTGGGAACTGAGGACTCCAAGAACAGCCCTATCTAGTAGCCAGTTGTTATTCTTTACGTGAAAGTCCCTCTGAGATCCCCAGTCCTAGGAAAAGTCTTGTTAAAGCCACAGTTTGGTCTAACGCTAGAGAGATTATGTTCATGCCTGGATTACAGTGATAAGGGGGAGGTCCATAGACGTATCCAAGGATCAAAAATTGCAGGTGATAGTCTATAGTCACATTGGTTAAGTCATCCACAGGAGCCCTTGTGAGAAACCCCCTGAGAATTTCCAGAAAGCACACTCTGGGCATTGTTATTGATATGATCTAATTTGTACCAACTTTTTGCTGAGATATTCACATTACTTGCAAGCTTTGCTACTGACAGCTCAAATGAGAGAAATTTTTTATCATTTTTAGGAGCCGTTTTATATCATTAAAACCATATGCTGAAAGACAAATTCATTAAAGAAAAAAAAATAGACATTTCCAAGAAACAAAACTAACTCATTTTGTAACCTCCCACATGATCATGGTTAGATCGCATGTATTTAGTGATCAGCCTTTCTTTAACTCTTTTTTTTTCTCAAGACAGAGTCTTGCTCTGTTGCCCAGGCTGGAGTGCGGTGGCCCCATCTTGGCTCACTGCAACCTCTGCCTCCCCAATTCAAGCAATTCTCCTGCCTCAGCCTCCTGAATAGCTGGGATTACAGGCACGCACCACCACGCCCAGCCAATTTTTGTATTTTTAGTAGAGACTGGGTTTCACCATGTTGGCCAGGCTGGTCTCAAACTCCTGATCTTGTGATCCGCCGGCCTTGGCGTCCCAAAGTGCTGGAATTACAGGTGTGAGCCACCGGGCCCAGCTCTTTAACTCTTAAAAATGAACAAAATAGAGACCAGGAATGACACTTTAAGAATCATTGCTGGAGAGAACTTCACCATCAAATGTGCAGCGTCCTGAGACTGATGGGGACATTGTCCCTGGTAAGATAGTTCAGAACCTATTCAGAAGAGCTCATGCATAGCTGCCTAAGTTATTGCCATCCACTATTGCCTCCCATCTTGGGGAGAGTCTTGCTGTCTGGACAACACAGCTGAGCCTTCTGCCTAGTATTGTGACTGTACCGACTTGTTCCAAACACTTTGGGTGAGAAAACTCTGTTGGATTTTCCAGTTAGCATATTTGCCTGCTCTTTTATTTCTCTGGCCCCAATATTTACATCTTATAAAAGTAATCAAGTTGGTGATACCAGCAAAATTTCACACTACACACATTCCTAGTTATGAAACATTAGAATTTTTTTTAATCAGCAAAATGAAAATGGCATTTGATAGCACCTCTTCTTTTCAATATAGTACATAGAGTTTCTGGCCAGCACAGAAGAAAGAAAAATAAAACAAAGTATAAGTATTCGCTAAAAGTCAATCTGTCAAGCCACCTCACTGGGAGAACTGCAATATCAGTGTCTTTGGGTCTCTCCTCTTGAGCTGATTAGATTCTGAGAGAGGAACATTCCAAACAGCTGCTAGGAAGAGCAAAGAGTGGTGGAGTGAGGGGTCCAGATGTCAGTGACCATCAGTTCTCTTCTTCAGTACTGGCCAGAACCTTCCAATTTGCCTCTCATTCCCTGGTTCCACGATCCTCTCTTCACTTTAAAAACCAGCTGCATTTTGGGAAGGGGAGGGCGTGGATCAGGGTCTTGCTCAAAGCTCAAGTCACTGCCACCAATCTCCATATGATGGCTTCCACTCCTTACCAGCTCCAGAGCGATTTAGTACTGCTGTGCCCTTCATTTCTGAGGATTCTGCAACATAAACTGTGATGCTTCCCTGGCTCCCCGGGGAGCAGTACTGGACGGCAGCAGTCCCAGGCGGCTGAACAGTGTTGTATTCTGTGTAGTGGCCATCCTCTTTCCTGAACTCTCTCCAGGTGTTCGCTAATGTGAGCATTCTGGAACACATTTCCTGGTACATCTTGGAAAGCTTTGTTTTGGAAAGACCTTTAGGAGATAGGACCAAACTTTTCCAAAGTGATTTTACTAATTACAGAACCCTCCACAACATAAAAGAGACCCTGAATTTCCATGTCTTCTCCACACTGTTTCGACTGGATTGACTTTAATGCCCAGCCCCTCGGTACAGTTTATCATGGGGTCAGCGGGTAAAACTAAGTGATAAGTAGGACACGCTCTCTCCACACCCTGCATGAACAAGTTCCTTACATGCATGTTCTCATGTGCATGTTTGTGGGCAAGGTCGCAGGTCCTCCCTGACACAACCGGCATCAACTTCAATTTAGAAGAATTGAGGGTTAAATTCCCAGGAATTAAAAAATGAAACTGAAGCCGCTGAGACTTGCAGTTCGGCTGGCGGAGGCCGCATGCAGCTCTCTGGTATCTGTAGTCGGAAGTACTCTCTGCGCATGCGGATACGGTTGTCACGTGGACCTTTTGTCTTGCTACCTTGCAGCAACATCTGAGGCAGTGATGCAGGACATGTCCATGATCTTAACCTGTAAGAAGTGGGAGCAGCTGGACCCACCCCAGAGGACCCTGTAGTAGGAGGTGACACCAGAGACCTGCAGAGCCCTCGTCACTGGGGCGTGCAAACCGGAGTTGACCTACCAGCTGAAGCTGCGATAAAAGAGCAGAAGACACCTTTGCCAAAACTGCTGTCCAGGTGACAAAGTAAAAACCAAGGCCAGCCAGCCTTGTCCCTGGAAAGACTAACTCAGGGAGCCAGAAGTTCCTCCAGGTTGAGGTGAGTGTGGGAAAGAGTGGTTGGAAATGCAGAAGGGGCGCTTGAGTCTGGCTACCGTCTCCCACACGGAGACTTTCTGGAGGAAGGTGAGTCCTAAACGCGATGGTCTGGGGACAGGTGATGGTCTGCACTCATGGGTTTTACAGGAGCCGGTCTCCGCAGGAGACAATCCCCGTGAATGTGACTCCCAGGGAACAAGTAAAGACACTTTGGTTCGTGAGGGGAAGACCTACAAATGCAAGGAATGTGGGAAAGTGTTTAACAAGAACAGCCTCCTTGTTCGACATCATCAGATTCATGCTGGGGTGAAGCCTTATGAATGCCAGGAGTGTGGAAAAGCCTTTCGTGAAAAGATCGACTTCTTTCGACACATGAGGATTCACACAGGGGAGAAGCCCTGTAAGTGCGTGGAGTGCGGGAAGGTCTTCAACCGCAGGTCGCACCTCCTGTGCCACCACCGGATTCACACTGGAGAGAAGCCCTATGAGTGCAGCCAGTGTGGAAAGACCTTCAGCTATCACTCTGTCTTCATCCAGCATCGTATGACCCACACTGGAGAAAAACTCTTCGGTGCAAAGAATGTGGGGAAACCTTTTACTGCAACTCTTCCTTAACCCGGCACATGAAGATTCACGCCGGAGAGAAGCCCTGCAAAGTGCAGTGAGTGCGGGAAGACTTTCGCCTACCACTCTGTTTTCTTCCGACATAGTATGGCCCGCCCTGCAGGAAAGCCCTATGAGTGTAAAGAATATGGGAAAGGTTTTTACTATGGCTATTCCCTCACTCTACACACAAGGAGCCACAATGGAGAGAAACCTTACGAGTGCCTTGAACGTACAAAGGCCTTTGGCTACCACTCTGCTTTTGCCCGACTTAGTAAGATCCACTTGGGAGAAAAAAGCCTTTGAGTGCAAATGATGTGGGAATTTGTGGGTTTTCTTTCTTTCTTTCTTTCTTTTTTTCTTTGATACATAAGGAGCCACACTGAAGAGAAGCACTCTGAATTCAGTGACAGTAGGAAAGCGGTGACCTGCAGCTCTTCTTCACTTGGCATTGAAGAATTCATTCCAGAGATAAACTCTATAAGATATGTGGGAAGGACTTTTGCAAGTGGGCCCACATCAGTCAACGTCAGAGAACTTAAACAGGGAAAAGACATTGTGACAAAAACTAGTGAAGAAAATCTTTTGGCCACAGGAAATATCTTCCTCAGCATCAGAGAATTTTTCCAGGAGGGAGACTATTGGTTTTTGTGCACTTGAAAGAACCACCCACATCTCTCTCCATAGTTTGTATCCCTAAGCCACCTCAGGAATTTTCTTTCTTTTAAGTAAGAAGGGAACTGTAAAAGAGAAAAAAAGAAATTCATGCACAGCTTCTGTCAGACTTGTCTGAAAGCCATGCCTATCAAAATTTGAATTCAGTTCTTCATTTTGCAGATACCTGAAAGGTACAAGGGCCTTGCCTCATTATTTGTCCTTTATATGTATTCACTCCTGTCTACAGGAGAATTGTCCTCTGTAAAGACTGACTCTGTAAAGATTTATTGAATGCATTCTTTGTTCTAAAACACTGTACTCCTGAGGAACGTAAGTCTTTGTGAGAAATATGAATGCTTAAGTAATGGAATATGTGAAACTTGTAAGAACGTAGAATATAAAAATACTGCCATACAAAATCATTTCATATCTAAGGAGATAAGTATCCACATTGAATTGGCATATTTTGCTGCATCATTTAAGACTATTTAAGATTTTAAGTTAAAAAAAAATTCTTCATGTGGTTTTGAACACCCAGCACTCGATATACTTGTTTGTTTTGATTTATTTTCTCAGGGACAAGAGAATGATGGTGAAGCTGTGTTGCTTTCCCAGGTGAGCCTTGATTATTTCCTCTGTGCTTTCTCAGCTTCTTTGGCCTTCTGTAAGAAGGGCTTCTCCAAGAGCATGTCACTAGTTTTCTAGGGGTTAAACAAGAGCTAAGACAAACAAAACAAAACATAGCTTATCTAATCTAATGAGAAACCCAGAAAAAAATGTTTTGATGAATGCAATGTATTAAAATATAAAATATGTAGCTCCTTCGACATGTTAATTCAATTCTAGAAATCTTCAGAAATATTCTTATATTATGCAGAGATGTGCGTGCGAAGACTAATCGCTGCAGTTTTGTTTTTATGTGTGAAACGTTGAGAACAATCTAAATGTTTATCAGTAGGAAGTAAGTTATGGTACATCTGTTCTATGAAATACTATGAAGCAATAAGGTATCTCTGTCTGTACTGATATCAAAACATCTCTAAGATACAGTATTTAGTAAAAGAGAAACTTTCAGGAAATAAAACTACATCTAGAAGTATAAGCCTAAAACTGTTAATAGTGGTTTTCTGCAGGAAATGGGATGGACCGGGGTTATATGCAATGTTCAGTTTTTACTTTTATACTTAAGTATTGTTTACATTTGAAAAATAAAAAACATTTATTGTTTTTGCAACAAATGTTTACAGTATTTCTATAAAGATAGCATTTTTTTGGAATGAAAGTGACTTCTATTATTTCTTAAAAAACGTACATTTTACAGGGTGTTTTTTTTTTTTTTTTAAGTCCTGGTCTTATTATGCGTTTAAAAAATAACAGACCAAGGATCCATAGATACTTAATCACATTTAATAAATCATAATATAGTTTTTTTGGGGGGGTTTTTTTTTTTTTTTTGAGATGGAGTCTCACTCTGTCACCCAGGCTGGAGTGCAGTAGCGCATCTTGGCTCACTGCAACCTCTGCCTCTGAGTTCAAGTGATTCTCTTACCTCTGCCTCGCAAGTGGCTGGGACTACAGGCAGGTGCCACCATGCCCAGCTAAATTTTTTGTAGTTTTAGTAGAGACGGGGTTTCACCATGTTAGCCAGATGGTCTCAATCTCCTGACCTCGTGATCCGCGTGCCTTGGCCTCCCAAAGTGCTGGGATTACAGGCGTGAGTCACTGCACCCAGCCGTTAATAGTTTTAAAATGATGAGCCAGCATATATGTAGTTGAATACATGTGAAAATGAGAGTTCAGCATAGGCTACTCCTCAGTGAACATTCATTTCCTTTAAATTGCTGGTAACATAAATGCTCTTTTGCATGTGGTTAGGTTTTAGATGGCCAGTTTCTATTTCCCTGGATTTGATCACAAGAAAGCACCAGACTGATGTTGATGTCAATGTATTTTGCACACACATTGGCTAGCCACAGCTGATTTGTGTTTGCTACTGAATGAATGTGATCTGGTTAGCTTTGTGATATACGTTCGTATTCCAAATGAAGAGAACTATAGCTGCATTTTTTCCCAACATAATCGTGCCAGGCAGTCAGACCTGTTTTCCAGTAAAGAAAATGAGTTTGATATCTGCAGATCATATCTTACAATTTGCTGTGTTCTCCCTCACAAAATTTGTGAACATTTGTTAGCATCATTTCATTTAGGAATCATATACCATCAGAAATATTTTCCCTATTAGGAATAAACAGGGAGTGCAATTTTCATATGAACTAACCTGTAACCCACTGGTAAAACCCTGTTCATGCTTTTCAGTTGTAGCACTTGGCCCAAAACAGTTGCACCACCATCTGGGGCAATTTTGTGAGCGTTATTCTCTTCTTTAGCAAGAGAAGTTGGCAGCTGTGTCATGATATAAGTAGATTCTGTCCATCTGGGGTCAGTTCCTGGAAGTGGACTGTGAGTGAGATGACCTTATTGGCTCAGGAGGAGAAAATGTCTCCTTGGGAAGATCTCTTTTCTGTGAGAGTCATTGAGTAGTCTCTAGTGTGAGTCTAGACTGAGCAGGCTTCACTGCCCTGGGAGAGGTGAATGCAAGACCTTTGTTGTTTGCTGTGGTTTGAAAACTCTGCCTCTACTACCACCTCCTCAAGTGCAATGGGACCCACAGAACTACAGGGTCCTGCTGAGCCCAGGAGCTGCATGGAATGGTGGCAGTCACCTTGCCAGTGCAGTGGGCATGTATCAGACTACAAGCTAGGGGGAGGAACAAGGCATCAGTTGGGAAGAGGGGATGCATGGCTAGACTTGAGCCCTCTTCATCCGGATGTCCCCAGACCCCCCAGCACAGGCCAAGCATAAAGGCCATGTGGGGGTGACCCCCCTGACCCAAGGGGGGCTTCATGTGCTACATGTAGGCAGAGCTGTCTCCATCCTCACAGCCAGAGGCTGGCCCTTCACAGCCTCCAGTCAGGCAGGGAGCCCTCCGGGGTGGCCTGTTCATGGGCTACAGCCCAGTAAGTGGAGGGCGGGGAGCAGCAACATCCCCCAGGGTCTACCAGGTATCCCTCCAGCTGGTGCCTCTGAGCCTCATAGGGCCCAGAAGCGACCAGCCTCTCCCACTGAGGGTCCCCAGGTACTGGAGAGAGGCCCTGGGCTGGGGGCCAGAGAGGGATTACCCCTTGAAGAACCATCTCCTGTGGGGCTCTTGGGCCCAGGGGCACTGGGGCTGGGAGCAGGTGTGGCCAGCCACCATTTCTCCCACTGTGACCTCTGTGTTGTGGAACAGGGAAGTAGTGCTACCTGTTATTGGACTTCAGGGGACTGGAGTCCCCCCTGGCCCCAATCATATGCTTCCTGAAATGCTTTGCACACCAGAGACAGCTTCCCCAGATCCAGGGGGACAGGGATCCCCGGGGGAGTCCCCAGGGCCAGCCCTCTGGGCCAGCTGCACACGCTCGACACTGATTTGCAGTCTTGCACAAATAAGGGGTAAGAGCCCAGTGGCTGGGGTGGGCAATGGGGGGAGCCTCTGGCCTAGGGAGTCCCTGGCATTGACAGTGGGCACAGTCCCAAACACACACCCCCAGTCCTGGACCTCAAGGCCCCTGCCCCACCAAGCAAAGGCTGCTTCCTGCTGGAGAAGCCCCAAATGTCAGTTTCAAGGAAGAGGGGCCAGCCCTTTGGAGGTCCCAGGGAACCCTGGGCCACCCCACTGCTGCCAACAGTTCTGATGCTCAAACCACACCCTTCTGGAGCCACCTGCTGCCTGGGCCCAACGAGCCTGTTTTGGACCCAACAGACTGCAGTCCCATGGAGCGGAGGCTGAGAGGTGCCCATCACCCGAAGCTGAGCCCACTTTGAAGCCGCTGGAAGGGGCCAGGCCTGCTGAGCCCCCCTAGTGCCTCCCCTGTTCCCACCCCTGTTGTCAGCTGTACCCTGCTGGTCAACTTTGAGGAATCATTGCTGCAAGGACGCTTTGCACCATCTGGCCGCATTGAGGGCTTCAAAGCAGAGACTAGAGCTAGTGGGTCCTACTGCCACCACCATGTCACACTGCCTGTCACTGTCACCTTCTTTGAGGTTTCTGAGCAAAATGTCCCCACCCCCTTCCTGGGCTTCATGGATCTGAACTCCCCAGGGAGGAAGAGTTACAGCGTGCCCAAAGTGGGCACTATGCAAGTAACATTTAACCCCAACCAGACTATGGTGAAGATGTTCGGTGACCTTGGACTTCTTGGACATGGCTGCTGCCACATGCCCTTCCTGTGCCATTGCCTCTTTTTGGTGCCTGTGGATGAGCAGAAAAATGCTAACCCCACCTACTGCCTCCTCTGCTACTTGCTGCACCTTCGGTTCTGTAGCTCCCGCTCAGGCCTCTTAAGCCAGAATGGAGATCTCTGCCTGCTTTTTTCCTGCGGGCGCCTGGAGCTGGACGCAGGGCTCCCCTACGAACTTCAGGCTGTGACTGAGGCCCCTCTTAACTCACGTTATTCACCTTTACCCTGATTGCCAGCACTCTGAACCAATGTGAGTTCAACTCTGCCCATCTTGCCCATCCCATAGATGGAGAGATGGCAAGAGACCCTTCAGGCTCGAGTTAAAGCCCTCACCATGCTCATGTCCAGATTGATTATTTGGGTGTTTGAAGCTTCTGATCCTTACTACACCCTGCCCTACCTCAGGTCCTCCATGTGCCTGTCCCCTCCCTTGGGTCTCCCAGGCCAGGTTAGGTAGTAGGGAGGAACCGGAGCCACCCTGAGGTTATCCCAAGGTCCCAGGCAAGTCATGCCAGTGTTGCCTCCCTGTCCTGAAAAAGGACCACTTATTATTTTATTTATTTTTAATTTATAATTTATTCAAATTGGATTGACTTAGTACCTCCCACACCTGATCATTGGCATCACCCCCCTCCTTTCCCACTCTCAGATATTGCTCCAACCTCAGGAGTGAAAGAGGCTTATGTGGAGGGAGTAGGAGAACTGCTCTCCCTCAACTGAGGGAAGAGGGCTTATTCCAGAGGGACTGAGTCAGTAGCCAAAGCCTCAGCTTGCCCTGTCTTTCCCCTAGTCCCTTCACTTCCCCTACACTCTGACCTAGCTCTGAAAGTCAAATTATACATATGCATGTGTGCACAAGCTTGTCTTTGTGTGGTATGTGTGAGAGAGAGAGAGTGCATGTATGCACACACACAGAGGTTAACCACCCCTCACCTATGGTTCCAGACTCCAGTTGTCCCTTTCCTCCTACCTGTGTCTCCTTGCTTTGGGGTGTGACTGAGGAAGGTGTCCAGGGAGCAGAGTCAAGTCCAAGCACTGGGGTGCCTCCTCTCACCTGGCCAGACTCTGACCCACCTACCTCATCTGGGGTAAGTGGCAACTCTCAAACTCAGTCATGTGGTTTCCAACTGTCCCATTCCCCACTCCAGACTCTGACCCAGCCTCAGTCCTGACTCCTGGGGCTGACCTGAGGGGAACAAGCATTTGTTGAAACTCAAAAAAACAGGAAAATATTTTACCTGGTACTTTTTTTTAGAAAAAAAAAAAAGATTTTAAAAGAAAGATTAAATTATTGCTTGGAAACTTGAGAAAGTTTTCAGTTAACATTTTTCAGTTAACATTTGCTCAAAAATAAAAATCACAAAACAAAGGAGGAAACAAGATGTCATGGGGTGGGGGGATCAAAGAAAAAAAAAGAAAACCTGCCTCTACTAAGACATTGGGACAGTACTTCTGCATCTGAGGGTAGTGGAGGTAGTTGATGTGACCCACTGCTTCCTAGGAGGTTATAATTGTCACTCAAGAAAGTTATGAATTAAGAGACCCCCAGTGGGATCTCACTGTGATTATGCAATGATCTGGATTTGTTAGAGTGCCCTCGTAGTAAACAAATATCCATGGAATTTTTCAAGGCAGAATGCAACTGCAATACACATGGCAGTGAAAAAGTAACTGCACTGCGTGGTATAAACTGCCTAAATTTCATCTCCCTCTACATCTCACATTGGAAGGAGACCAACCTGCTTTGGAGCAAGTGTTCAGTGTTCTTGGACAATTCAATTAAAGGGCATGGGAACTCTCATAAGAAGATGCTGAGCTTCAGGATAAGGAGGCCTAGGAGAGCTCTTATGTAGTTAACTGGAAAAATAGGGAAAATGTCCATTTTTAAATTCCAAGTTTGTGGGGCAATTCATTCCAGTTGCAGGTGAAAAGGTGTTTTCCTAAAGCTAATAAAACATAGGCATTTGGGGCATGTAATTCTTTAGCTATGACATTTGGCTTGCTAAATATTTTCCAGTGAAGGATTTTGAATGTATATCTCTCCTTTAATTTTCATTAATGATGTTGAGAAGTAAGCTATCAGTTTATTGTTATTTCTTTATAGGTAATTTTTCTTTTCTCTAGCTTCTTTTACAATCTATTTATCTTTCATATTCTATAATTTCAATATGATGTGTCTAAGTGTGATTTTCTAATTTATCCTGCTTGGTGTTCATAAGGATTTCTGAATCTCAAGATTTCTTTATTTCTCCAATTCTGAAAACTTTTCATACATGATAATTTTGAATATGAGTCTCTCCCATTATCTCTGTTATTACTCTCTATAGATGTGTATTATACCCTCTCACTTTATCTTCCCTTTCTCTTACCTTCCATGTTTTCAATCTCTTTGTTCCTCTATGCATTCAGAGTAATTACTTCATATCTACCTTCTAGTTCATTAGCTCTCTTTTCACCTGTGTAACTGAAATTTTTTAATGCCAGTGGTTGTATTTTTTATTTCTACAGGTTCTAATTGGTTCTTTTAAAAAAATCTGCTTGATAGTTTCTTATACTTTCAATACCTCTTTTATATTTTATACTAAACATCACTAATACCTGAAGTTTCTACAGGCCTGATTCTTGATGTTTCTTTTGATCCCCCCACCCCATGACATCTTGTTTCCTCCTTTGTTTTGTGATTTTTATTTTTGAGCAAATGTTAACTGAAATTATATCTTAGGAATTTTTTTGAGACTTGGAATCAAGGTGCATGCCTTCAGAAGAGTTTGTGTTTGCCCTTACCGGGCACCTGGAGACACAGTGTAACCCAGAATATTTTGAATTATCAGCTTAGGATTTCTCAGCTCATATAAGCAATGGGAATTCTAGACTTAAATCCAGTGGGAGTGACTCACTGTTATGAATCTTTCAGGAGAAATTTATCCTTCCCAGCATCCCAAGGGTAATTGTATTTACTGGACTCCTCTTGAGGGGCACTTTCGTCTCTATTTCCTTTTTTCACAGAAGATGTCACCTTTTAGGAGAGCCAGCTTTCTTCGAATCTTTAATCCTATTTCCACTTTGCTTAGAACCTGAGATTTGTCTACTCTGTCCCCAATATGGCTTTCTCTGTATTTGTGCTTTCTTGTCATTTTTGGCCTCTAAAAATTTTCCTTTCTTGCCAATAAAACTATGCATTTTTTAAAATATATAATTTTTTCCAACTTCACTTTCTTTTTTAGGTGCTTTGCACCAGAAGGATTTTTTTAATATCTAGTATTCATATTGCCAGAAACAGAACTTCTATTTTTCATTTAGTTAGCTATATCAAGTTTCCCTAGCCTTTTGAATTAAACCAAATGCGAAACTTTAACAGGAAAGGATTGACAGAGAGGTTTGCCAACTTTTTATTTCATAAAATAACAATAACCCAAAAAAAAAAGCGAAAAAAAGCAAAAAAAAAAAAAAAAAAACCCTCCTACTTTTACCATCATGCCATAATGGAATGTTGAGAAGACACAAGAGAAGTAGCCTTTAATTTAAATTTACTTTATTCCAAATGCTAAGATTGGTGACAACTTTGTCATAGACTATCATTGGTCCAGGAACTGGCATTTGGGAACCACTGAGCTATGTCACATGCCATGAAGGTCAGTCTATCTGATCGTATACTCACTATAGGCTCTATTAACTAGAGATTCCAACCACCACCATCAAGCCAACGGCCAGATGAGCTAATGCCATTACATTTACTTGCTTGCAATTGAACAAATAACTTCCAATTTACAAAAGAAAGAAAGAAAGCATGGGAGGTAAAGTCGAAATCCTGAATCTCACCTCTATTTGGGAAATTCATCCAACCTCTTACCCTCAGCTTCTTCATCTGGGATAGCAATACATTACCCATATGGATATTTTGAGGACTAATAGGAAAGTTCATTGGGGTTAATAACTTCTCTATTATTCCCCTCCCTGATAGAATACAAACTAAATTTCCCCCAAAAGGAATAAGCTCCAAACCATTTACAGTAGGGCTTTCTTTTCGATATGACTCTAGAACAGGCAATGTGCCCAACTGGTTCCTGTCTTTCCTACTATGGAGGAACAAACTTTGGCCAGCTAAGAACTCTGGGAGAATAAATTTTGCTGGCAAGAGAGATAACCTCACCAAAATTTAAACTCCATGGAAGCTGGAACTTTGTTCATAGCTGAGTTCTCAGTACCTATTACAGTGCTTGGCACATTTAAATGTTCCATAGATGAATGAGGAATAAGAAAATAAATCAGAGCCCTAGAACAAAATGAGTCACAATAAAACTGCTATCAAAATTACCCAACAGGAGTGGGAACCCTGTGTTCCACTTCACAATCTTCACCCTCTTCAACCCTCTTCTTCCCACCTCCCAATTTCCCCCGCCATGCAATGCTTCTCCAACAAGTTCTGCACAGTCCCAGAGGCAGAACCTGGCTTTGGGAGAAAACAGGCAGAATTAAATTCAATATGCAGAACCATCTTTTCAGGGTCCTTGCAATCTGTGCACAAGTCTGTCATGCTGTAACTGCTTGTACGGTGCTCACTGGTGGCTCTGAAGACCTTCGGGAGCATCAATCAACTGTATAGAGGATGGTCAGCTACGAGCTATGAATAACAAGACTAATTAACATTCACTGAGCATTTTCATTGTGCCAGGCTCTATGCCTGTTTTATATGTATTATCTCACTTCATTCTTAGTGAAACCCAAGGTAGTTACTATTTTCATCCCCATTTTCTAGATGGTGAATCTGTGGCATAGAAAGGTGAAATAGTTTGTCCAAGGTCACAAAGCTGATTCTCTGCAAAATCAGTGCTCTTAACTATGGCACTATATAAAATACAGATTTTATAGCACTTCCAAGTCTTTGGCATGGGTTGTATGTAAGCATATTCATATTGTGATGTGAATTTTCTTAAATACATCTCATTCCTTTTGATTTTCTTATACTGGGATATAAGTTGAAAAGATAAATATGAAAAAAGAAAACCAAGTCTAAAAGCAAAAGTAGAGTTTGAAGTGACTAGAGTGAAAAGAACAACACTGCTCTTCCTCCTTCAATTGTCTTCTTCCTCCTCTCTATACCTCAGTCCTGCCTCTTTACCACCATCACCCCTGTCTGATATAATATCATTTCTTACCTTCACTACTACTGCAAAGGCTTCCTAACTGATCTGCCTCCACCCACTTTCACCCACCTCCACTGCCCCCCACACCTGCCACCCCATCCTATCAATACTTCAAGAAA